ATATATATATATATATATATATATATTAGGGATGCATGGGTAGTAAAATTTGGCTAAATACTAGGTCCTGGTACCCAGCCATTAAGCTTCGGGCTGAGCCGGGTATCAACCAGGACCGGTCCCCCACAAAAAAAAAACAACATAAAAAATTAGAAACAAAAAACAAAATTGACGTTTATTACATTTAACCGAATAATCACCAATAGAACATTCAAGTTTTACTTTCAACTTTCAAAATTAACTAACAAAAATGTGCACACCAGTTTGCAAAATGCCCGTTTTTTGGAGTTTGTTTAAATTGTACTTGAGGAACAGTAGCATTTCGGTGTTTTTGGGTAAAAGCCTCGACCTTTCATGTGTGATAATGTTGCCAGCAGTGCTAAAACCCCGTTTGCTGTCTACACTGGTCAGAGGTGCGGAGAGATAACGCCTGGCCATTGTGGGAAATCAGGCTTCATTTGACATCCAAAAGTGAGGCCGGTGAAAGTAAACGCAGAAACATTGATGTTGACACGTTTTAGAATCATTATTCCGATTAATGCCTAGCCCCAACTTCTCAATTCATGCCTGTTATTAATCTCTATTGTTCTCGGAATCCACAACTTTCGGTAGGCGGTCAGTATCAGTCTCTGTCGTTCGGAATGCATTTTTTAAACTAAATCAATTATTGACTGTAACTTTCAGTACCATGCAAGTTGCCCCAAAATTAGGGCTTAGATGCCATTTTCAATTACCCAGATTCGGCTGTCTTTAACTTCGAAACTCGGCCAGAGCCGAGTATTACCAAGTAGCCCAATAACCGGCCAGGTACCCACGCATCCTTAATATATATACATATACATTATAATCTTTGAAATGTATCAACAACAAAAATATTTATATTGTCAAAATATACAAGACAAAAAATTTCACTAATTTAATTGCCTCACTATAGCTTTAACTGATACATACATTTTCACCAAACTGTCAGTTGCACTTTGACATACCTGCAGGTTCCAGTTAATTGGTATAAAAGTACAAATCAAACTGAGGCTCAATAACTTACTGGAGTTTGAAATAACTACTGAAGTATTATTACAAATGAAATATATATATATAATTAGTATTACTTTAAGCACAACCTTTGTAGTTTGAACCTTCACAAAGCTGTAATTTGACATTTCTGTTGAGTTATAAAAGTCCATACATTCACAATGACTAGGGTAACACTTCACAAATAGATTGGATTTGTTATTTGGCTTTAGTTATAACCAAGGAAACTACAAGCAATGATGTATTTCAAAGTTCACATCTGAGCTCCAGACTTACCTGAATTCAAGTATCGGAGCAAAGCCCAATTGTTAACAACCTTATTATATTTACAAGATTGTTTCAGGGGGGGGGGATGATGAGCAATATTATCTTCACCAAAACTTCTTGAGTTATTATCCCTGAAGAAGCTGCAAGCCATGACTGAACTTGTAATTTTGAGAGTCTTAACTCTTGTCACTTATTTTTTGTTGTAAACAGTCTCCAGCAGGTTATTCGATAAATGGGTGAGATGATGTTTCAGTTTCCTCAACCTGATGACTAGACACATTTGTTGTTTATTTTTTTTACATAACTACCTAACTTTTGTGTAAATGTACTGGTTTCTTCTTCAGCATTTTCAAGCTGTTGACCTGATGTTGGAATTTCATTAGTTATACTCTTAAGATCAATAGTGTGATCAGACTGGTGACCGGATCAATGTGTATCTTCAGGATGGTCAAATTCATGACCACTTTTACAAGATTTTTCTCTCTATATAGTAAAAGTAGCTTTCTAATTGAGAGTTTAATTTTATCAGTTTTATTACTATCACTCTAACGGTAAGGTTCCAATTTTTCTCCCAAACTGAAGGATTCTGTTACATCATCCAGCTGATTGTTGTTAAGAGCTACATCCAGACAATACCTGTGCTTTTCTTCAGAATCTTCCTTGATGGTACCCATAATATCAATGTTTGGTAAAGTACCAATTAGCCAATAAAGATCAATTACATATAGGTTTTCTGTCTTGAGTCATCTCCAACATATTCAAGGTAACTGTCTCCTTCAACACCAGCAGAGCCACTGTCTCCTTCAACACCAACATTCTCTGAATGAACAGACTCATCAGTACTTCTCACACCAGCAGGGTCACTGTCTCCTTCAACACCAACATTCTCCGAGTGAACAGACTCATCAGTACTTCTTACACCAGCAGGGTCACTGTCTCCTTCAACACCAACATACTCCGAGTGAACATACTCATCAGTACTTCTCACACCAGCAGGGTCACTGTCTCCTTCAACAAGAACAACATTCTCCGAGTGAACAGACTCATCAGTACTTCTCACACCAGCAGGGTCACTGTCTCCTTCAACACCAACATTCTCCAAGTGAACAGACACATCAGTACTTCTCACACCACCAGGGTCACTGTCTCCTTCAACACCAACATTCTCCGAGTGAACAGACTCATCAGTACATCTCACACCAGCAGGGTCACTGTCTCCTTCAACACCAACATACTCCGAGTGAACATACTCATCAGTACTTCTCACACCAGCAGGGTCACTGTCTCCTTCAACACCAACATTCTCCGAGTGAACAGACTCATCAGTACTTCTCACACCAGCAGGGTCACTGTCTCCTTCAAC